GGCACAAGTTGGAAGGCTCCCGGGAAGGGTTCTTCCATTCACGTTAACAAAAATGAAATGTGTGTTTCAGGTCGCCACGGTGCTCATTCTCTCATCGCAGATTCCTTGGTCAACATTTGCCCCATCGATTGCTCACAAATAAATGATTGCTATTGCTAGCCCTCCTGTATGGATAGCGCTTCACATATATCAAAGCCTTCCCCATTCGTTATGTCCTTAGATTCACATAATTTCTACAAGTGGATGACATTGTCCTCATCTTACATGAGAAAACATGACTTATTCAAAGTGATGCACAAATGGAGGTAGCAGACTCAGTCCTTATACTCAGATCCTCTTTGGAGGCGCAATCATTTTACAAGTAACCCCTTAAGAATCACCACAACGCTGAATAGCTTGTGGAAAGGGCTGTTAGCAAAATACCCTACCCTTTTTGGTGTAAGTACAAACTCACAACATACAGAATGATATAAAAAAGATAAAAATGACCCCAAATCCCCTGAAGATAACCATGCTACCATTTGGGTATATATCCTTCCAGGCATGTTCCTCTAAACCGGGAGCAGAGTACATTCCTTTAAAGTTTCAATTACTTCTAGAAAGATAGAAGATTCTTAGAAACTAGCTGTAGAGTGCCATCATCAGAGAAGAGTTTGCCGGAAGTGCTAAGAGAGGTCATACATCTTCTGTCCTTGTTTAGATAAACACAAGTTTCTGCCCGTGCCCAGTTGTTGCCAGAAACACTTGAAGAGAAATAAGAATATATTTTTTCTTTCAGCAGAAGATGAACCAGGCATCGGCCAATTGGAGTGTTGGCGTGGTCCTCAGGGCCTCACAAACTCTACTCTGAAGAAGAAAAAGAAAACAATACAGAAAGTACACATTACAGAAAGTACACAAAGAGCTGAAGAGAGCAAAATCTGCAGGAGCTGGCTCAGTGCTGTCAGGAGAAATAACGAAACATTAGTCAAATTTCCAAGAAGTTGGGTGTTTGCTAAAGACCCTAAGTGCTTCTTACTTGGGGTGACCCACATAAGGCAATGTGTTCCTGCTGGGATTTCATATTAGCCCTACAGAACAGCCAAGGTCCTGCACTATCTCCCCCTATGAACACTTAGATTTGTCAAAGGGACTGCCTTTTTTTTTCCTGGCAAGTTTTCAGTTGTCACTTAACACCTGCCAATTGTGCAAGGTCATCTACTCGGGATATTTCCATTATCTGCGAGATAACCTGGGGGAGCTCTTACTTGCAAAAAAAAAAAAAATATATATATATATATATATATCTGGTCCCCCCTGACAACATCCATCCATCTCCTGCTTGGATCCTTCTACTTGGGCATAGCCATGATTTCAGGCAGGTATTCATCTTGGGGTTTATGAGATATTTGGCCATATCTGCTAATACTGCAAGCATTTTTTTTAATTTACGTGCTTTAAATGTGTAGTTGTAATAATATAAGTGTGCCATTCTTTAAGTATTTTTATTTTTAAGCATTTCAAAATAAATTTTGTGATCAAATGTGGTCCCACAAATTCTTATTCATGAAAAAAAATGGCTACAAATGATATGTTTAAAAAACCACTTTCTCAACATTTGCCCCAAAACATTTTAAACACCACAGGCAGAGTATGACAGCCACATCGCAACAATGGGGATAACTGACAGGTTTTGTGCGTGTGTATTTTTTCCCTGTGCCCCAAAGTTTCTGAGCCTTTGGGAGCTTCCAGAGACAATGACTCCGGTTTAATAACTGTGAAATGCTATTGAACTAGCAATAAAATATATTCTCCACCACGGAACAATATGATACTTACAACAGCCAGCATTCCTGCCAATCACAGGACATTCACGAAAAAGTGACATGAGTTCCTTTAGCAACGGGAATGGCCCTTGTAGCATGTGTGTACACAAGCGTGAGGGTTTCCAATGCCAGAAGAGCTCTGCGGCCACATACCACAGCTTGGATTACACTAAACTGTTGTGTTTGTGTACGAGTAGAAGAAAAACATCTCTGTTGTTTACAAAGGATAAATTCAAACATCAGGGTTGCATGCTAGTGACTATGGCCTTTCCCACACGCATTTTTACTAGGTCAGCCCACTGCACGTAAATTAGAGCCCTTGTTCTATAGGCCAGCTAAGGCATTCCCAAGTTTCTTATGTTGATGGACAGATTCGGCAAGAGAGTAAGCTATTTCACATAAAGGTGATATTTTTTCTTTAAGTAAAAGGAGGGAGCCAGACCTAAAATAGAGAAGAGAGGAAAAGAATGCTGTTTATTCAAAGCTGAGAAGCACCCCTTCCTGGGAAGAAGTCATGGGGCTCCTGCGAGTCGGCAAAGGAAAGCTAACCACATGGCCACTCAAAGAAGGTTAAGAGCCATGTCCTTGATGGGTGATTCTTTTTCTATCAGCAGCCAGCTTGATTTAGGCAAATTGCAAGGCTCTGTTTTAAGTACCTCTTACTTGCGGGAGAATTGGAGGACAAACACCCTGAAACTGGGATATTTAGAATCAGCCATCACAGCAGATTGCTGTACCACACCTAGAAATCTAAACCAAAAAAATATGGACATAAACGGGCATCTCGAACACCACAGCTACACATGGGGAGTTAAAGTCATAGCAAAAGTTGCATTATTCTTGAGCTTTGTCCCATTATTATTCCCCAGCCTCGGCTTGATGTAAATTGGGGATTTGATGCAGCACAGATAAGATTTGAAGTTGGTTCTCTCCCAGACAAAAGGGACAAAAGGGGAAAATTCTCAGGCTGACAGGGCAAATCTGCACAGAGATGACTGAAAAGGCGTCTTGTGTTGAGCATTTTCCTTGATCCTTGACTCTTGGGGCTGAAGTGTGACAGTTCCAAAAGGATTCAAAGAGAGAAGTTGCAAAAGGAGGGGTTCTAGGAAGTGTGGTGTCAGAGCTCTTCTTTGAATTTGACACTATCTTGATCCTTCTTAGATTGCATGAGGCACATTTCATTGATAAAGACAAAATCTTAAAAAAAAAAAAAAAAGAAAGCACTGTTCTTTTTCATTAGTTTATAGAGTGAGGCCAACACTACAGCAATGGTTTCTTAGTGAGCTATGTGTCCTTCACTGGCTGTGGTCTCCCTGAGAACAGGGACCTTGGATTCTCTGTCTTTAATTCTCTCACAGTATCTAGAGCAAAGCCTGTGTGTAATAAGCCCTCAATAAATGTTAACTGACAATGTGGCTCTACTTTCTCAGTAAACTAGAAATGCTATTAGTTTAACCACACAAAACTGCTTCTTTTGTAGGGCAAAAATGATCAAATATTGGCCATCGCATAGGGTGAAACTCAATACCATCCCTATACTATTAGCTACTTTCCACCTATGTTATTCCTGTTATTCCACATACATTTCCTAAGAGGTGCTGTGTGCCCACCACTTACCCACACTTAACCCCACTTACAAGTGAAGAAAGAGATATGTAGGTTTGTTAGGAGATTCCCAAAGCCAAGTAGTTAGTTGACGAGTGGCCAACTATTGTTGTATTGGTCCCTAAACCCTATATGTTAATCACCTTTCCATCATAAGTGAAAGAAATCCAATGTAAACAACCTTAATAGAAAAGTAGATTTAGTGGCTGGTAAACTGGGAAGTTAAAAGATGGCTTTCTTCAGGCACAGGGACTCAAACAATAGCAATATTCTTTTTTGCTTTGTCTCTTTCCATCTCTTTATTCTACTTATCTCTCTTCTTTTATATCCTGGCCTCATTCTCTTATATCCCGGACTTTCCCTACATACAAAAGCAAGAGGCCCTAAATCTGCCCCAGTGCCCAATACTGGCCTCCATGGAAGGATATGATTGACCTACTTAGGCCATATGCCCAAGCCTCGGCCCAATCCCTGTGGAGGGGAAGATTGGATTTGGCCAAGCCGAGGTCATGGGCTACCTCCATGGGCCAGCATTATGGACTGAATATCCACGTACTCCCAAAATTCATATCTTGAAACCCTACTTCCTAGGGTGATGGTATTAGTAGATGGAGCCTTTGGGAGATAATTAGGCCAAGATGAGGTTGTGAGGGCAGAGCCTTCAAGCATGAGATGAGTGCCCTTATAAAAGTCATGAGAGAGCTTGCTTGCCTCTGTTTTCTGCCACATGAGGGTCCAAGAAACTGGCAGTCTACAAAGTGGAAGATGGTTCTCATCAGAACCCAATCATGCTGGCATCCTGATCTCAGACTTCCAGCCTCCGGTACTGTCAGAAATAAATCTCTGTTGCTTGTAAGCCATTCAGTCTATAGTACTTTGTTATAGCAGCCTGAACAAACTTAAGATAGCCAGGGATGAGGCTCTATCATCAATAATCCAGCAGAACCGTCTAGGACAGAGAAGAAGAAATTTCCCAATGGAAGGAGAAGGGAAGCAGAAAAACCACAGATGTCCAATGTTGCCTTGCCTATCCATCTGCACGTGCCCACCATCCTACCTGTGAGCTCCAAAATAATGTATTTGCTGATGAACTATGTCCTTACCACAAAGTTGGCATTCATGAGGCTGAAAAACCATCTCACTACTTACTCTAATGAGGACAATGCCACCCTCCCCTCCTCCACTCTCCATCCCACCCCCCACCCTCACCTCCCTAAGAACAGGAGGGTCCCACAGCTTGCTTCTTGTCAGGGCCAAGGGGCTGCAGACTATACTGCGGCCAGGTCAGACCTGGTCAAGGTTTAAAATCAAGTGCCCCTTACTTTACACTAAACCAAACAAAGTTGTGAGTGGGCATCCATACAAACCTATCATGCCTCGGCAAACCCGCAAGAGGGGAGAACCAGAGAGCAAGCTACGTGGCATTTCTAGAAGAAGGCAAACATCATAGGCATTTCACAATTAATTTGGGGACAACCAAGGTTATCCAGGAAATGGAGCTAAAGTAGTTTGTGCAGATTTTCTCATTTCATGACAATAGGTACCCAGAGTTTTATTGGTAGGAAAAAAAACAAATATTAAAGGCATGTATAAGTGTTTAATGAATATTTATTAAATTACACTGGATTAAACTAGGCATTGTCTGGTCTTTCAATCATATAGGCAAGCGAGCCATGACTGGTGGATATAGCGGTATTTCCAGAAGGAAAGTGGCCAATCTGGGAGCAGCCAAGAAGCAGCGGGCAGGCCGTCCTGCAGTTGGTGGCAGCCCAAAGGGTGTGACTTGATCCACTGGCGGAGATGGCCTGAGGACACCCCGGGTGCGCCAAGGGAGGAGGTGTTGGTTTTCAAGAATACCCTTACTAGGCAGTCCTGCTCCGCTGTGTGCCCTGTGATGAGGTCTTCTCTGGTTTCAACGTATCTTCTTACCAGAGGCTGCTGCTTCAATATCCTTCTCAGTGCGGATCAAGAGCAGCCTGGGGCAGAACCAGGACAGGTTTAATGAGACGAGGGTCAAACATCTTGAAAGAATATGGGCTCCCGGGCCGGGCCAGCACTTCTGAGACTGCACGGGGACAAGAATGCACGGGGGGCCTGGAGGACAAGGTGCCACCCAGTGGCCCCCTCAGGAGTTTTCAGCCACTCCTGGGGCACGCTGCCCAGCCCCGGGATTAATTCAGCATTGCTCTGGGGGGAAAAGCCAGCCCGTCGGGGTCGTCTACTCACCAGGGAGCTTTCCCCAGAAGCTTCTTCATAAACCACTTCTTCCCCAGAAATTCACGGCCACCAGGGTCAGGCCATTTTATACACCAGCAGAACAACGAGTGGCTTATTGTTGTTGATAAAGAATGCTATTTCTCATCGGTAGAAGCCACCCCTTGAATGATTGATGTGGGCTGCACACAGTGGGGGGAAACAAGAGCAAGCACTAACACTTGCACAGCACTGATGATGCGCCAGGCACAGTGCTAAAGGCTTGCCACACATGAACCCATTTAGCCCCACAGCCGCCCTGTGAAGTGCATGCTATTATCACCCCTGTTTTATAGATGAGGATCACATGCAGTAAGTGGCACTACCAGCATTTGAAAGCACACACTTTGTTACCAGAGGCCATACTCTTAACTGCTATAAACACTGCCCCAAACCCGAGGTGGGGGCGGGCGGGGGGAGTGTGGTTTGCCTTGTAAGTAAGATCATGTATATAGAATGGAAGCGGGCACCCATTGTTCCACCAATGATATGTAATGTCTGGTCAACATACTATAATTAATAATCATTTACTAAAATTATTATTTCAAATAACTGACAGTAAAATTGATCTCATCTGACCAAAAATCACATAAGAAACTGGACAAAGGAACTGGACCAGCGGTGGCCAAGGTGCCGAAGTCTGTTTCCATTGCCGAGTCCCTGACGTACTGACTTACACACTTGCAGCTCCTATCCCCAGGCCCTGCCTATACAGACAACCCTCAGGCTCCCTGGTAATCTGGTTTGGGCATCTTTAGATGAAACTCCAAGAGTACGTTTTTGCACAATCGACACTAAAGTTGCTGAATGTTAAAATAACAAGACTTCTAAAAAAGAATTTTGAAACTAAATCAATCCCCCCAAAAAAGTGAATAGAGAGTTATCAACCACTTTCAAATGTGGCTTCTAGTTGCTTCCATGAACAACTGGAGGAAGGAAACTGTCATTATGGCATTCATCCGAGACAAGATTTAGCAGCCAACCGAATGAAAACCTAACTGGACATATGTTTAATAAAAATCATTTAAGGGCAGTCCGGATGGCTCAGGGGTTCAGCGCCTGTCTTCAGCCCAGGGCGTGATCCTGGAGACCCCGGATCGAGTCCCGTGTCGGGCTCCCTGCATGGAGCCTGCTTCTCCCTCTGCCTGTGTCTCTGCCCCTCTCTCTCTTTCTGTGTCTCTCATGAATAAATAAATAAAATCTTTTAAAAAAAAAAAAAAGAATCATTTAAGTGTGAAGACTGAGAGATGTTATGGCCAGCGTGTGAATGTTGTTTCCACCAACAAACCACAGGACTCACTATACTTACAAGTGAGAGGATGGGAGGTTTTGCTCACATGTGGGCACAGCCAGACCAGCGCTGAGAAGGTCAGCACTCTGCAGCAGAGCAGGACGGGTCAGCAGGCCCTGTCTGCCGCTCCCCACCGATAGCCATAGAAATGGGCCAGGAAGGATGAAAAACTGCTCCTAATTGGGCTTTGATTGAATTTGGGGACCGTCAGAGAAATGAGTAGGATTTGGGTTTATTTTTGTTTGCTGGTTCCTCTGTGTGTTTATTTGCGTTTTAACCAGAGCATGGTTCTGAGTGCCACCTCCAGAGAATTTGCAGGGATGAGGGCTTTATGGAAAGATTTTTCCTTCCCGCTGTCGTACACACTGCCATTTTCAGGAGCACTTCTATCAGCCATGCGTGCAAGGTTTTGTGTCACCATCGATGTTAAAAACAGAAGCCCTGGCATCCACTCGCATTTCGGGCATAAAGGAAAACTGTTCCCCTTGTTCAGAAGGCTCCTGTGTCTGCAGCAGGGCCCCAGATGCAATGTTTGTTTTAGGCGGAGGGAAAGGAAGGCAGGCGGAAAGTGAGCCGAGAAATGGCTTTTTTTTCTAAGTGTGGCAGATCATTAATAATCAGTGAAGGATGGACTCAAGAAGCCTCAGCGCACGTATTTCTAGGGCTGAAGTTGAAGCCTTCATTAATATTCTGGAGGAAGATCACTCCCGTGAAGTTTCTCTGGGCCTCCGATCTAACTCGGCTCTGTAAACAATGGAGGATTCTAGGATAGCCCCAGAACTTTCTCAGTGGAGGAAAGAGAAGCACAGTTCTCTACCCCGATGCAGAAATCAGTGGGTCTGCTTTGTTCTTAATCAGTTCAGGTTTTGCCTACTTTGACTCTCTAGTCTGATGTAACATTGTGAAATGCTGAAAATCCATTTCTTTTTTTTTTCTGAGATTTTATTTATTTATTCATGAGAGACACACAGACAGAGCAGAGACATAGGCAGAGGGAGAGGAAGCAGGCTCCCCGCAGGACTCGATCCTAGGACCCTGGGATCATGACCTGAGCTCAACCACTGAGCCACCCAGGCCCCCTGAAGATCCATTTCTTTGGAAAACATTTAGCTCTAGTAACATAGAGTGTGTTGTCTTTATTTTAACCATGTCTAGAACTACTTCAGGCCGACAGAGTTTATCAGCTATGCCAGAGGCCTTTCCAACCTCATTTTTAGTCTGCCTAAAACTAGCTTAGCCCTAGAACCCTGAACGTGTGGATAGAAAGAAGCCAGCATCTCCATTTTGGCCATGGAGGGATGGAAGGAGAGAAGAGAGGAGAAGTTCTCATTTCTCACTGTAGCCATGTACGTACCCAAGTATCAAAAGCGGTCCCAGGGTCGGCTAGGAGATGGACACCTCCGTACCTGGATCTGGGCACAGGGTTATAAGGAGGAAAAGAGGGGAGATGGAATCTTTTGCTCATTCTGCCTATCTGGGGTGTAGTACATTGGAAGCTGGAAGAGAGCATATCAGAGGAAAGAAAACTGGGGGTGGCTAATTCCTTTGTTTTATGCAAAATCTCTCAAGGAGAGGGAAACAAGGAAGCAAGTAATGAATCACATGCCCACATGTACCCCTGAGCCAAAACAACACTCGCTGGATCCCCTCTCCCACCAGCCCTGGCACCGTTAGCAAGCCACCCTCGTGGGCAGTGAGTGACTTTCCTGCCCCAACCCCAAGCCTTGCCCCCTGGGTAAAAACATGCTCCTTGCTACTTCATACCACTCCAATAAGAACAAGCCCTGTTCACCAAGGAGGGCACTTGGTGGCATGAGCACTATGTCGGCAAACTGAATTTAAATAAAATATTAGGGCAGCCCGAGTGGCTCAGTGGTTTAGCGCTACCTTCAGTCCAGGGCCTGATCCTGGAGACCCGGGATCGAGTCCCACATCAGGTTCCCTGCATGGAGCCTGCTTCTCCCTCTGCCTGTGTCTCTGCCTCTCTCTCTCTCTCTCTCTCTCTCTCTCTCTGTCTCTCATGAATAAATGAATAAATCTTAAAAAAAATAATAAAAAATAAAATATTTTTAAAAAAGAACAAACCCTGTTTGTTTCAATATTAACTTCACTCCCTCATCCTTCTCCAATCTTTTTTTTTTAAGCCCTTAAAGGAAATGTCACTAAAACATAAGGAATAGATCATTAGTCTGTCCAACGGTGGACATTTTTTATTATATAAAGCTCCGAATCCATACTGAACAAAAGCAACTGTTCAAAACTCTCCCCCCACCAAAAAAAAAAAAAAATTGCCCAGCAATTTTAAGTTAATGGGCAAGATTAATGGATTGTCATATAATGTAAAGGGAAAGTACTAGAAAAAAAATGAAAGTGGCTCTACAAAATTGGTTTGGAGCTGGAGTCTCCGGGAAGGCCCTGCAGCCGGAGGATTACTGTCTGCGGGGCTCGCAGCTAAGCGGTGTATTAATCTGAAAGCCATGCCTTGTACCGATACCCAGCACTTAGTGGTTGGTTTTATGTTAAAAATGCTCCGTCTGAAACCTGTGCTGAAAGTTTGCCCAAACATCTCATAGTTGATTGCAAACCCGAGTGCCTGGGGGCTCTGAGCCCACACCTCAAGAATGTTGGTGATTGGGTGACATTTTGGCTCTACACCTGGATTTGTCAAGGCCTCTTAACGGCTGCTGGGAATGTGCCCTGCCTGGGGCCCGCTGCCCTCCCCCATCACCCCTCTGACAGATGAAAACACAACAGGGTCTGTTGCCTGACTGACACATTCCTCTCCTGTCTGCCTCTGAAAGGACTTTATTTAACAGTCCTGGAGTCGGGCTTTTGACTGACAGATTGTGAAGGGTAAAAGTCATTCGGTTCCATTAAGCTCTGTAACTGCTCTGGAACAAAACACCTTTAAAAAAAAAAAAAAGTGTCGGGGTTGGGGGAGGGAGAAGTAGAGCTGCGGAGAGTGGGGGCATGAGCTTTAGGGAGAAAAAAAGGGGATTCTTTTCAGGTTCAAAAACAATCCTTCTCTTTGCCTTCTGTCTATCAATTAGGGCGGCATTCCCAGAGGGAATACAGGCCCGGCCTCATTGGTGTCATTCAGCTGCCAATCTCCTGACAGGGACACCAAAGGGCCTCATGTAGCGCTGCGGAAACTGTCTGTCAGGCCATCAGCAGCTGCTATGACGACATCACCTCTGTTTTTCCAGGACTATTATAGAGAAAGAGGTTTGGGGGGGGGGGGGAGAGCGCTCACCCAACAGAGTCGAAGAGTCTCAGCTCCAAATCTCTGTTCATATTTTCGTTTCACAACCCCTCACATCTCTTCAACCCCAGGGTGAATTTCTTCACAAAAACATCATTTCCTTGCCTGGCTGGGCTACGGGGTACATAATAACTCGCCAGCCAAGGACATGGTCTTGGGTGTCAGAAAGG